CGATGCCGGGCCTCCTGGCTCCCGGGCAACTGTGACCAGATGGGAACACACGGTCTCTGCGGCTGGTCCTGTTTACACGCTAGCGAACTCCATGTGAGGCGATGGCTCTCTCTTCTCAAAGGCTGTTCGCTGCACTGGCCACTAGTCAAGGGCCGCAGACAGCTCTGCTATCGAAACTCGCTAATCCAGATCAGCTCCTCACTCGCTCAGATCAGCACATCAGTGCGCTCACACCCCAAAACCGTTCCCACGCAGAGGCTTTCTTCTGACAGGACGCGCAGCCACGCAGACCCCACCCCCCTGCAGTTTAGATGGAGTCGAGCGAGGCATCTGCTCCTGTGGGCGCCACGCGGGGCCGAGAGGAGCCCCGAGGAGCCAGGAGAGTGAAATAGATGGACTCCCGCACGTCCACTAAAACACAGTGCAGGAGACTTCAGGGGCCGTTACAGGGTGCTGGTCATTTACTAACACCTGCAGTGTCAGCGTATGGCTGCAGCGAAGGGCATTTCAGAACCAAGAATAAAGATCTGTTTGACATTCAAAGCTCTAAACCACACACACGTTACTTGTCTCAAACAGAAGTTACTCCACCGAGTACTGGAATACTATCCTGAGAATAAGAACGGTGACACAGATTTGGTCATATTTATGGTAAAGTGCACGCTATTCAAAGGTCAGATTCATGCGTGTGTTTTTAAAGATGTTTGAACACAGGAAACCCGCTCTGCGTGATATATTCCGAGTGTTGGGATTCTAGCAGCAGAATCCATAAAGCTCCTTTTTTATTGTTATGGTACAGTTGACGTACAACGTCATGTTAGTTTCAGGTGCACAACACGGGTATTCGATATTTATACACCAGAGGACGTGGTCACCACAAGCCTAGTAACCACCGGTCGCCATACAAAGTCATCCTGATGTTTTGGCTGTGTTCCCTGCGCTGTGCGTTACGTCCCCGTGACATTTACTTGAGAACTAGAAGTGTGTGCCTCTCAATCCCCTTCACCTTCTCACCCAGCCCCCCTCCTCCCCTGCAGGAGCTGTCAGTGTGTTCTCTGTGGCTGTAAGTCTGTTTCATTTTGTTTTTTAGATTCCACATTTAAGCACAATTATATGATGCTTCTCTTTCTGTTAGATTTATTCTACTTTTTATAATACCCTCTAGGTCCAACCATGTTCTCACAAATGGCAAGACTTCATTCTGCTTTTGTGGCTAAGTAATATTCTAATATACGTAAATATAATATATATAATATTCTATTATATAATATATGGCACATCTATATATAATATATGGCACAATATAATATAATATATGGCACATCTTCTTTATCCATTATCTATCGATGGACACTTGGGATGTTCCCGTATCTTGACTATTGTAAATAATGTTTCAATAAACCAAGGGGTGTATATATCTTTAAAAAGCAGTGTTTACATTTTCATCAGATAAATACCCAGAAATGGGGTTGCTGGATCCTAGGGCAGATCTATTTTTAATTTTTTGAGGAAGCTCCACACCGTCTGCGTTCCCACCGACAGTGCGCGAGGGCTCCCTTCTCTCTGCCTCCTCCCGTGCCCACGCTGTTCTTCCTGACGACAGCCCTCCTGACGGGTGCGAGGGCGCCTCATTATGGTTTCGATCTGCATCTCCCCGAGGACCAGGGTGTGGAGCATCTTTGCATGTGCCTGCTGGCCATCTGCATGTTTTCTGTGAAAAATGTCTATCCAGATCCTCTTCCCGGTTTTTAACTGGATTGTTTGCTGTTCTGATGTGGAGCTGGAGGAGTTCTTTATACAGTTTGGGCATTAACCCCTTGTTGGCCGTATCACTGTAAACACGGTCTCCCGTTCAGCAGGTCGTCTTTCCACTTTGCTGATGGTTCCCTTCACTTTTTAGTTTGATGTAGAGCCATCTGTTTATTTTTGCTTTTGCTTCCCTTGCCCGAGGAGATGTGCCCGAAAGGATAATGCTGAGCCAAAATGAAAGCGTTTGCTGCCCTGTTTCCTTCCAGGAGTTTTATGGCTTCAGGTCTTACATGTAAGTCTTTAATCCATTTTGAGTTTACTTTTGAATATGGGGTTAGAAAGTGGTCCGATATCATTCTTTGCATGTATCTGTCCAGTTTTCCCAGCACCAGTTATTGAAGAGACTGTCTTTTTCCTATTGCATATTATTTCTTTTTTAAAAATATATTTTATTGATTTTTTACAGAGAGAAAGGGAGAGGAATAGAGAGTTAGAAACATCGATGAGAGAGAAACATCCATCAGCTGCTTCCTGCACACTCCCTACCGGGGATGTGCCCGCAACCAAGGTACATGCCCTTGACCGGAATCGAACCTGTGACCCTTGAATCCGCAGGCTGACGCTCTATCCGCTAAGCCAAACCAGGTAGGGCAATTTCTTATTGCCTTATAGATTAATCAATCATATCAGTGTAGGTTTATTTCTGGGCTTTCTATGCTGTTCTATTAATGTGTTTTTGTGCCAGTGCCCTGCCATTTTAATTACTATAGCTTTCTACTACAGCTTGACTTTAGCTCTTAAACATTTCTCCATTGCAGTCCTTGGGAGAATGACTCTTTTTTTTTTTTAAATATATTTTATTGATTCTTCACAGAGAGGATTTCTTATTGCCTTATAGATTAATCAATCATATCAGTGTAGGTTTATTTCTGGGCTTTCTATGCTGTTCTATTAATGTGTTTTTGTGCCAGTGCCCTGCCATTTTAATTACTATAGCTTTCTACTACAGCTTGACTTTAGCTCTTAAATATCTCTCCATTGCAGTCCTTGGGGAGAATGACTCTTCATGTTTCTATAAGTGTGTAAGATTGTAGCCTGAACTTGGGATTTCTGATTTAAAATTCAAAGTAAAAGTTTACTTCTTGAGACCTACAAAAAATACTCCATATGCATTATTAAGTCCACATTGATGGAAAATGAATGATTATTAGGATTAAAACGGTCATTATTCTATGGATGTCAATAAGAAGGCATTGAGTTATTTTAACTCATTCTATGATTCATTCAATAAAAGGAGAGGAGACAGCTGGGAGATATTTGCAACAAACAGGACAGTTTCTGGATGTTCCTGTTGTGTTCAAGAAGGGAAGGCAGCGAAGGGAAACCATAGACATACAAACACGTGTGCGCTGGGTGCTGGGCTGCCAAGTGCGCACCCTGACAGCGTGCGACGCTGTCTCACGGGGGCTCCAGACGTGCTCTCCCACATGCTCTCCGCACCCGCGAGGAGGACGAGAGGACACCGTCACCTCTTAAACCCAGCGACGTTCTCAGAAGAAGCACAGTCTAAGGTCCCCAGATTTAGCAAATCAAATACAGGACCTCTAGTTACATCTGAATCTCAGGTAAACAATGAACATATTTTTCAGTGTATGTCCCATGTGTTTTTTGTTTGTCTGACATTCAGGTGTAAGTGAGCATCCTGGATCTTACCCAGCAAGCCGACGGAGCCATCATTTGGCTACAATATTTATAACAGAAGGTCATTCGTAGCATATGCTTCCCTGTCTTGGTTTTGTACGGAATGGGTGGTATGAATAGAATGAGAAGTCATTTATTTCTTAGAAACGGAAGCTTCTCATTTCAACACCATCAAGACAGAGTGTACTGTGTGCATCACAATGCTGCTTCTGAGAGACAGCAACAGCGTTCGGCGGAAGTGGACGAGAGGAGAGCGGGCGAGGAGGACGGATGGCTGGGGGACACCTGCTGGGCCCTGCAGATGGCCCGCACCTGACCTACCGCGGTCTGAACCTCCTTCTCCCCAGGAGCTCATTCCTGCTCAGAGCTGGGCCAGTGGGAAACCAGAACTCACTCCAGATAAACCCGGTGCACAGCATGATTAGAGAATAAACCATCTAGGCCAGGGGTCTTCAAACTACGGCCCGCGGGCCGCATGCAAATACAAATATTGTATTTGTTCCCGTTTTGTTTTTTTACTTCAAAATAAGATATGTGCAGTGTGCACAGGAATTTGTTCATAGTTTTTTTGAAAATATAGTACAGCCCTCCAATGGTCTGAGGGACAGTGAACTGGCCCCCTGTTTAAAAAGTTTGAGGACCCCTGACTAGGCAGTGAGGGTTACCTGTAAGCAGTAGGAGAAATTTGAAAAGAAATGTGACTATTGTTCATTCCAAAAACTTGTTAATTTTTTAACTTCCACCTCAGGTAGATAATTCATGGTGTCGGTTTTCACAAGCGTTGACATGTAGGGAAAAGGAAAATAAGTGTAAAGCACATACAATGTTTTCTAATTGTATGATTGTTGTTTTTGCTTCTTAGATATAGCTGCCTGCAGATTAAAATTTTTTTATTATTTTATATTTTGAAGATTTAAAATTTTATTTTATTATGTTATCGCGAGGCAACTCCCTCTCCAGCAGTTCAGAAAAAGCACACGTGCCCGTGAGCATGTGCACAGGGACAGAAGCGGACGCAGCGACTGCTCACAACTGGGTACCAGCTGAGGAGTGGATGGACATTCTCTCTCCTGGTCTTGCCACTTTTCCCTAAGTCTGAAATTATGTTAAAATAAAAAGTTAAAAGACAAAACATTTCCTCTGGTAAAATGGAATCCAGATTTTTTAGGCAAGAAGTTGATTTTGTTTTGACGTTTCCTGCCCTGGAAACCATGACACTCCAATGGAACAGGCGGCTGCAGCGCAACACGCCCTCCCACCTCTCCCAGCGGTGCCGGGATGGAGCCCCTGGCCCGCGGCTCCCTGCGCTCCCTTCCTGGGTCTCTCAGCGTTTCGTCTCACTTGTTCGTTTTTACCTTTTACAGCCGAGAAAGCTTGAGCTTCTGTGACATCCACAGACAAGCTGGGCTGTATCTCATCAAGTCAGCACAGGAAAGTGATCTTTCCAATAGCTAAGGGTGGGACCAGATCTTTCTCTGCTGATCGCTCCCGAGTCTAATTGAACGGTGTTATGAATGGATTCTAACGGCGTCCTCAGTCAGGCGAATCGCTGGTACCTCTGCATGTGCTATTCCACACCATCCTCTCTCTCACTATAAAATATTCTAATGGAAAACGAAGCAGAGAACAATGCAATTTTCACCCGACTCTGTAAGACCAGGTAATCCCATCTTTCCCAAAAGAATATCGAATATACTTTTATTTTTAAAGGACCACAGTCTTGCCTTTACATTGAGGTGATGTCTTTCGTGTTGTACACAGGACTATTCTGAACACGCAGAACTCATTTCTACTGTAAGGATTGGGACTAAATATAAAGAGACAACACATCAATTTTCATTAAATAGCCCGCTTGTTAACTTGATTAGTTTTCACATTCTCACATGTCCATGTAAAGTGGAACCAGTGAGAGAAGAAAACGAATATCGAGAGAATATTAATATCACTCTTTCCTCAGCAACCAGATTGAGCAGCCAAACGCCGGGGAACTGGTCCAGACGTGAGGACTAGAGGTGCTGAGACGCCGCCCCCGCCACCAGGAAATACACATTCTGACACGCGGTCAGGTAACACGCAAACGAACGAATTAAAGGGAAAGGACCGCTTTCAGATAATGCCGAGTGTTATGGAGAGAGACGAGGCGTCGCCCCGTTAGGCACCTTGGTTTGGGGAGTTTAGCCTCCAGAATTGTGACACCACGTCCTTTGCTTTAAGCCACCTGAGTGTGTGGGGGGTTACGTTGGCAGCCCCGGGAGACTCTCCGATGGGCGAGCCTGGAGTCCCCTGGCGACTGAGATCCTGCTAGCAGTGATGGCGAACCTTTTGAGCTCGGCGTGTCAGCATTTTGAAAAACCCTAACTTTGGTGCCGTGTCACATATAGAAATTTTTTGATATTTGCAACCATAGTAAAACAAAGACTTATAGTTTTGATATTTATTTTATATATTTAAATGCCATTTAACAAAGAAAAATCAACCAAAAAAATGAGTTCGCGTGTCACCTCTGACACGCGTGTCATAGGTTCGCCATCACTGTGCTAGTGCAATGCTGACTCTGTTCGGCACCATATGAAGTCCTTGCCACCCGATGGAGGGACGGAAGGCCAAACCACAGAACACGGAAGCCACGGCGGAGACAGTTCTTTCCCCATGAAACTGCTGTTTCACTCAATCTAAGCACCTCCTTTGTGACTTGGCCCCAGGAATGTTGCTCAGGCAACAGCAAGCGTCCCCAGCACTCCGTGACTCAGAGCAGAACGACCGCCTGCACCCACTGGGACTCTGGGTGCCCACACGTGGGCCAGGGCGCCGTGAACATGTCCTTCAAAAGCAAGGCCGGCACCAGGCTCTCCTCTCCATCAGGGCCGGCCACTGCGTTCAGCAGAGCCTCAGCCCCTGTCACGCTCCCGCCTGCTCGAACGGCTTCACCGGGATCTGGCCGAGGCGGTGGCCAAGGCGGGAGAACGGCTCCGTGCAGCTGTCCGATTGTCCACTTCCACATGATTCTTCACGGCCATTCCTCAAACTCAGAGTATTCTCCTGAAGTTGGGGCTGTTGTTAGTTTTTGGAAAGGAAACAATAACATGAGGATGGGGAAGGCCACAGAACAACGTAGGGGTTTTCAAAGGCTTCCACTGCGGTGCAGCCGTGGTGACGAGGGGGCGACCTACTGGTCGACCTTCCCAAGCAGCTCACAGAGAAACCACACGCTCCTTTCCCCAACAACTCCTTTCAGAGGCATGTCAGCTTCCATTCACTAGAACGACTGTCCCATGACTTCTTCACTGCACGGGGCATCTTCTTCCAGAGGCTCTGCAGGCTGACTTCTTAGAAGTCCCCCGATTTCTGTTTTGAATGGTCTGATTTCCATTCCACACTCGGCTATTCTCCCTTCTCCTCTCCTCCTCCTCCTCCTCCCCCCTATTTCTCTTCTTTCCTTGTGCTCACTCACCCCGACCAGCCAGAGCTCCATCCCCTCCCCCCCACTTCCATCCCGGGGACCCCCCGACTCAGTGTCCAGCTGTATCTGTCCATCAGGCTCTGGGCCAAGTACTAGATCCCAAGGAGACGGTTAGGCACAGCCTCTACCGCCCAGTGTGTCTTATTGTTATACTATCAATACAGGCAGCACCAATCAATCAATAGACCCCACACAGACTCCGCTCCAGGTCGCTGGTCCCACTGAACTGGGGTGTCCATGTTAACGCCGACTGATGTCGGGTGTCCAGCACTAACCTCACGTCCGCTCTTTCCCCAGGACCAGGCCTGTGTTCTGCACGTGTGTGTGGGAAGGCGGCCAGCAGCCTGACCTTCCAGGCAGGACCTCCTGCCGCACAGAGCTCTTCACACACCTCCCCACCAAGCAGGTAGGACACGTGGCCCGAGAGCCCCTGTGGAAGATCAGTGATGTCTATCAGCAACCGGTGGTGAACGGCTCCACGTCACCCCCGGAAGCAGGACTTCCCCAGTGACAACTCGTGGCCGGGGAAGGGACTCTCGGGTTCGAGTCGAGAGGCTAATGTGTGGGTGGCTTTAGTCTCAGTGCTGGGGGCAAAGGGGCAAATGAACAAGCTTGTCAGGCTTACATCCTGGGGAGAGGAGGGGACGGAATCAATAAGCCAAACAAACAAACAAACAAACAAATCAGGTGGCGATGGCGTGCCACGTGCAAAATGAACATAATAAGGTGG